AGAAAGAAAACTACAGGCCAATTTCGCTGATGAACATAGATGCTAAAATCCTCAACAAAATATTGGCAAACTGCATCCAGCAATACATTCAAAAGATTATCCAGCACGATCAAGTGGGATTCATCCCAGGGATGCAGGGATGGTTCAATATACGCAAATCAGTAAACGTGATACATCACATAAATAAAAGACAAGACAAAAACCACATGATCATCTCGATAGATGCAGAAAAAGCATTTGATAAGGTACAGCACCCATTTATGATCAAAACACTCAGCAAAATGGGAATCAATGGGGCATTCCTCAACGGAATAAAGGCCATATATGAAAAACCTACAGCCAATATCATACTCAACGGGCAAAAACTGAAAGCTTTCCCACTAAGATCGGGAACACGCCAAGGATGTCCGCTCTCACCGCTTCTTTTCGACATCGTATTGGAAGTCCTAGCCACAGCCGTCAGACAAGAGAAAGAGATAAAAGGCATCCAAATAGGAAAGGAGGAAGTAAAACTATCATTGTTTGCAGATGACATGATAGTGTACATATAGAACCCTGTAGACTCTATCAAAAAACTCCTCAACCTAATAAGTGAATTTGGCAAAACAGCAGGATACAAAGTCAACGTTCAGAAATCAAAGGCATTTTGCTGGTTTTGTACACCAGCAATGCAATAGAAGAAGAAGAAATCAGGAAAAAATATTCCATTCGATATAGCAAGAAGAAAAATAAAGTACCTAGGCATAAATTTAACCAAAGACGTAAAAGACCTGTATGCAGAAAACTAAAGAAATTAAGGAAGACACAAATAATTGGAAGCATATACCGTGCTCATGGATTGGAAGAATTAATATCTTCAAAATGTCCATACTACCCAAAGCAATTTATAGATTCAACGCAACCCCTATTAAGATACCAATGACGTATTTCACAGAAATAGAACAGACATTTCAAAAATTTATATGGAACCATAAACGACCCCGAATAGCCGCAGCAATTTTGAGAAAGAAACACAAAGTAGGAGGGATCACAATACCGGACATCAAACTCTACTACAAAGCCACTATACTCAAAACAATCTGGTACTGGCACAAGAACAGACCCATAGACCAGTGGAACAGAATAGAAAGCCCAGAAATAAGCCCAGGTCCCTACGGGCATCTAATATTTGACAAAGGGGGCAGAAGCATAAAATGGAGCAATAATAGCCTCTTCAACAAATGGTTTTGGGAGAGCTGGATGGCTACATGCAAAAAATTGAAATTGGATCATCAGCTGACACCATACACAAAAATAAACTCAAGATGGATAAAAGACTTAAATATAAGTCGCAACACCATCAAAGTCCTAGAGGAGAACATTGTCAGGAAACTCTCAGATATCCCACGCAGCAATTTTTTCACTGATATGTGTCCTAAAGCAAGGGACCTAAAGGAAAGAATAAACAAGTGGGACCTCATCAAAATAAGAAGCTTCTGCACGGCAAAAGAAAACATCAGCAAAATGAAAAGGGAGCCAACCCTATGGGAAATTATATTCGCTAATGATACATCAGATAGAGGTTTGATCTCCAAGATATATAAAGAACTCACTCGACTCCACTCCAAGACCACAAACGATCCAATCGAAAAATGGGCAAAGGACCTGGGCAGACGCTTTTCCAAGGAGGAGATACAGAGGGCCCAGAGGCATTTGAAAGGATGCTCAGCATCGCTAGCCATCAGAGAAATGCAGACCAAAACCACCATGAGGTACCACCTCACACCGGTCAGAATGGCCATCATAAACAGATCCACAAACAACAGGTGCTGGCGAGGCTGTGGAGAAAAGGGAACCCTAGTCCGCTGTTGGTGGGAATGCAGACTGGTGCAGCCACTGTGCAAAGCAGTGTGGAATTTCCTCAAAAAGCTGAAAATGGAACTGCCTTTTGATCCAGTGATTCCCCTGCTGGGACTACCCTAAGAACAGCAAAACGCCAATACAAAAGAACCTATGCACCCCAATGTTCATAGCAGCCCAATTTACAATAGCCAAGTGTTGGACGCGACCTAGATGCCCATCAGTAGATGATTGGATCAAAAGGTAATGGTACATATACACAACAGAATACTACACAGCAGAAAGAAAGAAAGAACTACTAAACTTCGCAACAGCATGGCTGGAACTGGAGAGCATTATGCTAAGCGAAAGAAGCCAGGTGGCGAAAGACAAATACCATATGATCTCACCTATAAGCGGAACCTAACCAACAATACAAAGATGCAAGGAAAATAAGACCAGCAACACTGAAAGGAAAAGAAACGAACAGAGACAAGAGGGAAGGAGGGGGGGATGGGAAAAGGAAGGGAAGGGGAAAGTCAAGGAACATATAGCAAGGACTCATGGACAAAATCAAAGGGGAAGAGCTGAGGGAGGGAAGGAGGGAGGGGGCAAGGGAAAGTGATCGGGGGTTGGCAGAGACAAATGTATTTGAAAAAATAAATTAAAATGAAATTTAAAAAATTTAAAAAAATAAATAATAAATAAATAAATAAATAAGGAAAAAATTTAAAAAAAGTTAATACATAACTACATACATAAAATTACTCCATTTCAGTCCTAGAATTCACTTCATGAGGAGCATCCTCCAGCCTGCAGAGAAGTAGAAGGATGGAGCAAGACTGGGTTGGATGTGAGTGGCTGTGTTTTTTGTGTCCTCTACTGTTTTCTAACATTTACAGGCTGGTGTCTCTCCCTGTAAAACCATTACACTCCACCCCCTTCACCCCATGGCTGACTGAAGTTCATCTGTCAAAACTCAGCCCAGAGGTCACCTCCTTCATGAATGTTTCCTGACCACTCCAAGCTGATTTTGGTGCCCGCTTTGTGTTCCCTTGTATCCACGGTATACTTACTCTTACCACACCTTATTGGTCTTATGTATACGATGTGCCTCTTACTAGACTATGGGGAACTCCAGCCTGCAAAGTCCGCAGATTCGCCATGGATGGAAGAATCATTCCAGACATTTTGCCTGTCAAGGAAAGAGGAAGGTGATTCCCCCTAGTGGGGAATGCCCCAAGCCCCTGTGCTCAATGGCTTTTATTGAGAGTGTTACCAGCGGGAAATAGGTAGCAGGAATATATAGGTAATCTAATTACTTCAGTATCTTTTTTTTTATTTTGAAAGTATGTTTATTAAAACTGGAGACAGTGAAACTAAAAAATGGCTTAAGGTAGAAAAAGCAACAGGACAGAGTCTAAGCAATTTTCTTTGGCTCCCTAGAAACAGTATAAGAAAGAAGCGAGCCAAGGTGGGGCTGCTTTTAGGTCACAATAAAATCAGAGAATAAAGGGGCTTCAGAGACGGTTTCAGGGGGTAAGACTGAGATGAGCTACCACTGCCTGCTGCTCCCCTGTTTGCAAGTCTCATGGGGAACCTTAAAGTTTAGGGAAAAAAAATAAAAAGTTCATGCCCAATCACAAGACACTATCTTTTTTAACCAAGGACACTTGAGAAAAATGGTTTATACTGCTCCTCCTTAACTAGAGAATAGATAGCTTAAATCACCATAGTTGGGGAGATAGAGACTCAATTAAATGTCTTTTATGTTAGGCCAACCCAGGAATGGAAAAAGTTGGGGAAACAAATAACAAAAGCCTAATTAGAGCCACACAGACCCAAGATACATCAGTATCTTAAGTTTACAGAGAATAGGTGATGTTTGAAAAAGACAAATGGCAGGAACACACCGAATTGCTCTGGTCTGAGATGAATAAACGTAATGGTGCCAAATGGCTTTTGGGTCAGGGTCAGGGAATTATGTAAATTTCCTTTCCAGCGTGAGCTGGTTATCTGGTGTAAGATAAACAGAGTTTGAGGGAGAAACAAAGCATGCTCCAAGGAGTGTAATTTACTTTTAGGCCTGATTTCCCCTGGGGGCCCTCAGAGTTATTATCGCGTCCTGCCTATGGACTGCTTTACCAGCTTTCTGGCCAAGACTTATGGAGCTTCTCCCAGGCCCCAGCTTGCAGACTACAGTCCCCAATACCACTCAAAACAGCTCCCTACACTAGACTTCCTCAAGGACAGCTAAAATAGTCTGTCTACTATTTTGGATCCCAAATGGTGGAATTGAATCCCAACTCCACCATTTCCTAGCTCTGTGACACAGCAAGCTGTTTAAATTCAGTAGAATGGGGATAAATATTTCTGTTTTATTGGGTTGTTTTGTTGATTAAAATTTCTAAAATACTTACACAATGCCTGGGACATACATGCTCAATGAGCTATAGTAATAATAAAATATAAATAATAATTATAATTACCATTAATTATATCTGTATTCCCAATATCTAACATAAATTCCAGTATGCAGCAGGCACTCAGTAAATTGGTATTAGACAGAACTGTGACTGATATATTAACTGTGATTAATTTGGAACTCTGCTGTCCAGTACATAACCACCAGCTAGCTACAAGTGGCTATTTTTTTAAAATTTTTTCTTAATTTTATTTTAATACAAGTGGCTATTGAGCACTTAAAATGAGTCTAGTCCAAGCTGAGATGTGCTGTAAGTATAAATACATACCAGATGTTTAAGACTTAGTATGGAAAACAAAGTGAAATGATCTCTTAAGTAATGTTTTTATATTGGTTATATGTTGAAATGATATTTTGGATCTCTAAGGTTAATTAAAATATATTCTTAAAAATAATGTCACTAGCTTGTTTTCACTTTTTAAAATGAGACTGCAAGGAAATTTAAAATTATATATATGGCTACATTATATTTCTATTAGAAAGCATTGATTTAGAATGTTTTTCACCCACCATGAGAATTGCAGATCTTCACATAACCTCATTTATGCTCAAACTTTACATGAGCTTTTTAGTAGAGAGAATTCATTTAGAATCAAAAGTCTATCAAATTGGTTTGTAAGAGATTTCCCAAGCATGGTTAACAAGCTAAAGCATAGAAAAGTAGAAAGGGAACTAAAGCTTTGTGGGGGTTTTCCAGGTTCGCTGTGATCCTGAGATTCAAGAATTGCGTCAGTGGCAGAATAAACTGCGCGAGGACAAGCACATTCGTGAACGAGTCAAAATTTTCTGGGCCAAACAAGAACAGAAAGGTTGGTTGTTTGATTTGATTCAGGGCTTCATCTCTAGAAATTCTGACTGGATATTTTGGGGATGGGCCACAGGGATCCATGTTAATAATGTTAAGGTTCCCCAGGTCTAATGGTCTGCCAGAGTGGAGACCCTGATGAGATTCTAGGTCCCCAGTTGTTTTGTGTTTTTAAAATTGTGGGATCCTCAAGACCTGCATGTCCTGAGCTCTGGGAAGCTCATACATTTGTTATTTATTTGACTGTTACTTGTCTTCCCCATTAGAGTGTAAGCTCTATGAGGACAAAGGCCTGTTTCTAGTTCAGTGCCTGACACAGAGCCTGGCACAGAGCAGGCAGTCTATACATATTTGGTGGATGGGTCCCTAGTCTTCACTTTACAGATAAAGAAATAAAGGCCCAGGAAGGTCAAGGGGCTTGCCTGAGATCACACAGCCAGTGGATGGCCCAGGACCGGGGCCTAGGTTCTCTCTTTCTCTGTTCGGTGTTCTAACACATACTCATGGAGAAACACAGAGACAAGACACTCTCCTGGGTTCTTCCCTCAGACCCAAACCCCAGGCATCACCTGAATGTTGCATGTTGCTTGTCAAATTTCTTATAGCCTAGACTTCAGGTTCTTGTTATTTTTATTTGTATTGACCAAAATCCCTAGGTAGGATTAGGGGACAACCTGTTGCCACCAGTGTCCCTTCAAGTGTCACCTAGCTGAATCATTTGTTAAGCTCATGCACTACAGAATTAATTCCTTTTCATTTTGTTTTTATTTATTGTTTTATTCATTTACTAAATTAATTGGGGTGATATTTCCTGCTTTAAAACTTACAAATCAGGAGATTTAGAACACAAATACCCCCAAACAAGATAACACCTTAATTAGACCCCACAGACCTCTGAAATAATTTGAAAATGAATGGTAAACATATGACAGTCCTTTAGATTTGAAAAAAAAAAAGCAGTGACTACATCAAATTAAAAATCTTCTGCTCAGCTAAACAAAATATCAGCATAAAAAAAGGGAACTGACTGTGCGGGAAAATATATTTGCCAATGATACCTCAGACAAGGGCTTGATGTCCAAAATATATAAAGAACCCAGGGGACAATCAATATGGCAGAGGAGTGAGTGGAAGTCACACTGACCTCCTCCCAGGATCAACCAGGAATTACAACTAAACTGTGGAGAAATCACCTGGGATAAACAACTGAAAAGTAGTGAGAGGGGCCTTAGAACCTTGGACAGACAGAAGAATCAGCTTTAGCACAAGCTAACTGGTAAGGAGTGCAGTAGAGACTCAAGAAAGTGGGCAGGGCGCCTATGGGCAGCAGCACCAGAAGGACATTGAAACATTCAGTTGGATCCCCCTGAGAATAACGAGAACTAAACCATAAATGGGGATCTCCAGCCTATAGCACCAGAGCCCAAAAAGTACACAGATAAGAGCCAACTGCGAAAAGCAGCAGGGTTGCTCGCTCCCAGAGACAGGCAGCTGGAGACGCAAAGAGCCATTTAAAGAGCCAACGCATAAATTTTTATTTGCAGCCATGTACCCTGAGCTTCGGCAAAGGCAGGGGCAGAGTGGGTTAGAGCTGCCTAAGGAGAGCCTGGGGAAGGAGGCTTTGGGGAGAGAACTGAGAGAATAGCCAGCGGGATCCTGGTGCTGACTCCTCCCTATTCCACAGCAACCATCTGGCTCAGGCAGACAACTCCCTTTGAGTGGCAGCAGCATGAGAGAATAAAAAAATCCTAACCCCAGGAGGGACTCTGCCCCACCCTGTGGTATCCCTAAACCAGCCTGCTGAGTTCAGAGTAACTAGATTAAAAGCTGAAGGAGACAGTCACAGACAGTAGACTCGTGGAAATCTCAAACAGACTGCCTAAGGTCAGACAGGGATGACATCTGACATCATCAGAGGCAGATCCAGAAAATAAAAACAGCGATCTCCTACCATAGAAGTTTACACCACAAAGTCAGGATATCAAGACAGATCAACTTAAGAGGGAAAAGCAAAAAAGAAGGGTCTCACAAAAAATGGGAGGACAAAGAAACACCCCCCAATCAAAGGGAAAGGAGGAATTCCCAGAAAACTAAATGAAATAGAGGCAAGTAAACTATCAGATATTGAGTTCCAAACAATGGTTCTAAGGAAGCTCAACGAGCTCAGTGAGTTCAGAAAGAATTACAAAAAACTACAGGAAAACTATGAGGAACTTCCTGCAAACTGTATCAAAATGAAAAAGGACATAGAAACTATCAATAAGAGACAAGAGGAAATGAAGAATACAATTTCTGAATTGAAGAACACAGTAGAAGGAATCAAAAACAGGCTAGATGAAGCTGAGGACTGAATGAGTAAGCTGGAAGACAAGGTAGAAAAAAGCTCCCAGAAAGACCAATAAAATGAAAAAACACTAAAAAAGAATGAAGAGGCATTTAGGGAAGTGAAGGATAACCTGAAATGTAATTATATCCATATAATAGGGATAAGAGAAGAAGAGGATGAGGAAGGGATAGAGAACCTGTTTGAAAAAGTAATGGTGGAAAACTTCCCTAATTGGAGGAGAGAAAAAGTCACACAAGTCCAGGAAGCACACAGGTTCCCATTCAAAAGGAACCCAAAGAGGGTCACTCCAAGACACATCATCATTAAAATGGCAAATATAAAAGACAAACAGAGAATCCTAAAGGCAGCAAGGGAGAAAGAGATAGTAACATATTAAAGGAGCCCCAATACGACTGGCAGCTGACTTCTCAACAGAAACACTGCAAGCCAGACGGGAATGGCAAGAAATATTCCAAGTCATGAAAAGCAAAGGTCTGCAACAGAAACTGCTCTACCCAGCAAGGCTCTCAATTAAAATGGAAGGTGAAATAAGGAGTTTCCCGGACAAAAGAAGGCTATGAAGGTATTCTTCATTTTTTCTTCTTGATAGTTTCTATATCCTTTTCCAGGTTGATATAATTTGCAGTAAGTTCCTGATAGTTTCCCTGTAGATTCTCATAGTTCTCTTTGAGCTCTCTGAGCTCATTGAGCTTCCTTAGAACCATTGTTTTGAATTCATATCTGATAGTTCACTTGCCTCTATTTTATTTAGCTCTCTCTGTGGGGATTCCTCCTTTCCCCTCATTGGGGGGGTATTTCTTTTCCTTCCCATTATTTGTGAGAGTCTTTTTATTTATTTGTTTGTTTGTTTTTGCCTCACCTTCAATTGATCAGACTTGATTTCCTGAGTTTGTGAATTAAACTTCTAGGATAGTAGGCCTGTCTTTTTATTTATTTATTTATTTATTCATTCATTCATTCATTCATTCATTTTTTTCCTGTTTCTGCCTCTGATGATGTCAGTTGTTGACCCTGTCTCACCGTAGGCTGTTTGTTTGAGCCTTCCAGGAATCTACTGTCTGTGTCTGTCTCCTGCAATTGTTAATCTAGTTACTCTGCCCTCCAACGTCAGGCTTAGGCACCACTGGGCGGGGCAGTGCCTCCTGAGGGCGGGGCTATCATGTCCTTACAGTCTGCTGTCACTCAGGGGTGTGGTCTACCTGAGCAAGATGGAGACCATGGAGTGGGGAAGGAGTCAGCACTGGGATCCACCCCCACCCCCAGCTACTCCCTTAGTTCTCTCCCCAATGCCTCTGCCTCCAGTCTCTCCTCAAGAGTCTCTAGGCAGCTCTGTGTCCCCTTTAGCCCAGGCTCTACTATCTCTGCAGGCAGCTCTGCACTCAGCATCAAGGCCCATATGCACTCCTGTCCAGGCTGGACTGCTCCGAGGGCAGGGTTATTATTTCCTTTCCCACTGCTGCCTTTGGGGCATGGACTGCCTGCACAAACGGGGTACAAAGGAATGGGGAAGGAGTCGGCTCTGGGGATCTCCGGCTACTCCTCCAGTTGTTTTCCCAATGTCTCCATCTCCAGTTTCTCCTCAAGGGTCTCTAGGCAGCTGTGTCCCCTTTGGCCAGGGATCCACTAATTCTGCCAGCGCGCTGCACTCAGCAGCCCTGCCCTGGCAGGGGCGCAAAGTCCTGGGTGGATTAAGGCCAGCTATTGTGTGCTTTCCCGCTGCTGCCTCTTGGGGGCATGGCCTGCCTGTGCAAATTGGAGATTATGGAATGGGGAAGGGTCAGCTCCAGGCATTCCCGGCTACTCTTCCAGTTCTTTCCCCAACGCCTTCGTTTACAGTCTTTCCTCAAGGGTCTCTAGGCAGCTGTGTGTGCCCTTGGCCAGGGATCCTCTGTTTCTCCTGGCTGCGCTGCATTCAACACCCCACCCCATGCCATGCATGCACAAGTTCTGGGCAGAATGCAGAGAGGCAGGATTATTGATTTCCTTATGCCTGAGTGAGATGGTAGCTGCAGAGTGGGAGGTGAGTTGTCACTGGGGCTCTGTTTGCCACTGTCTCAGATGTCTTAACAAAGCTTTCCTCACCAATCTCTCCTCAGGCATCCACCCACTCTGCTCCCACCTCTACCCAGCAATCAGGGAAGGCGGCTGCCACTGCAAAGTTTTGCTTTGGCCCTTTAAATATCTCTGCATCTCCAGCCACCTGTCTCTGGCAGACAGCGTTGCTAAGCTTTTTGCAGTTGCATTTTTGTCTGTGTGCTTTCCTGGTTTCAGATGCTGTTGTCTAGGGGTCCCTGCCTATGATTCAGACCCTGTTCTTCTCAGGGGGATGCAACTGGCCTTTTTTATGTCACCACGGGCACCAGCCCACCCTCTTGAGCCTCCACCACACTTCTGACCTGTTAGGATGTGCGAAAGTCGATTCCACTGGAGTCTGTCTGAGGCTCCAAGGATTCTCTCACTTTCTTGTTCCATTGTTTTCCAGGTGATTTCTCCACATTTTAGTCACAATTCCAGTTTGGTCTTGGGAGGTGGTCGGCGTGATTCCACTCACTCCTCTGCCATCTTCCCTCTATCCCTATCTTTTATTTTTTTAATATGATGTACTATGTTTATGATTTGCGAATATTGAACCATCTTTGTAGCCCTGGGAAGAATCC